TATACCTCAGACCTCACATGCGTTTTCTTCGTGTCAGTTGCGGCGAGTTCAAAAATGACCATGCGAAAGATGAGAAGGTGTGGGATTATTTTGAATTAGAAGGAAACGGAAAAGTTTTGTGTAAACTGTGTAATGTCAAATTGTCTTACAATAACTCTACTGGAACGATGCATAATCATATTCAATACATGCACGTAGGCGTTAGCTTAGAGCAGTGGTTCTCTACCTTTTTTTCCACCGGGCCGCACTATGGTCCAAGTGCAAGTCTCACGGGCCGCACGCATATCGTTTACATATTACGTCACCAATACGAACCAACCAGAATTATAATAGCCTATTATAGCCTAAATATTATGATATCTAATCGATTACATTCATTGAAATAAATAATTGTACTCCCCATTAATAAAACACCTGATGCTGTTGGGAGCTGACCAATTTTGTGAAATTCAGCTCGAAAGGAGTAACAGCACAATGAAGTTGCGATTGTAAGTTGCAGTCTGTAAGACGCGCACGGAAGCTTGACTTAACGTGCGACATTGCAGAAAATGTGCGTTCATAAATTTAGCCTATGTTGATCCAAATATGGAAAGCACTTTCGAATGTAATAATCTGAGGTTCTCTCCAGAGATGTTTTGCCGGGCCGGGCATCGGGCTTGTTTTAGGCTTCTCCTTATTTTTATATTTTAGACATTCATCAATTAGTGATGAAAAATTTTTTTTTTTGCCGTGCTGGTGGAAACAACAAGAGACCATGCTACGCGGCTGTCAAGAGTGGCTCAAAAAACTAAAATGAATTGTAAAACTGAAAGTTATTTTTTAAATTGTGTTCAGCATGGTGGGCCGCATTTGAACTCGTGACGGGCCGCGGGTTGAGAACCACTGATCTAATGAATGAGTACTAGTATCTAAAAAATATGTAATAGTACCTAATGAATAACTACTAGTACATAAAAATTAAGTACTAGTCACTAGTGGAATAGATACTAGTCAAAACTGAATAGTTATCTAATGAATAAGTACTAGTATCTAATGAATAAATACTAGTATTTAATAAATGAGTACTAGTATTTAATCAGTAAGTACTAGTATCTAATGAATAAGTACTAGTACCTAATAAATAAGTACATCTAATGAATACTTACTAGTACCTAATAAATAAGCACTAGTATCTAATGAATAAGTACTAGTATCTAATGATTAAGTACTAGTATCTAATGAATAAATACTAGTAATGTTAAATTAGATGCTAGTGCAGAGATTAAATGTTAAAACGACTTGCCATACTAGGTGCCGCCTTAGCATCACGCAAAGGAGGGGTTTGGAAAAATGAATCATTGAGCGAATCGTTTGGGAGTCGTTGAGTATGGGATGATATTAATCCCATCTGATGACTCAAAATTATTAATAGATGCACACACAATTAACCATGTACTGCATAAATTTTATGCATGTATCTTACTAACCACAAACAAATGCCTGAAATTCTGTTCTGCATTAATATATCATAAATTGCTAATGCAAAAAGGAATCCGTGCATTTGTGGATCAGGTGACACGTGTGCATTTATTGACATCTTAATGTGACATCTTGAGTCAATATTGTTCGGTTCATTTGTATTTTGAGACTTAATTTTCGCAGTTTGCAGCATTTCACGACGCCCACACACACAACTACTAACTCCTCTGCCCATAGAAATACAATAAAGATGCTTTATTGAACTTGTTCTAACTTAACTTGTCTTAAGACACAGAATAGCTTATATTAATTGGTACCTTGTTTTTTTTTCTGTAATTCAACGGCACATTGTCAGTTATTCCTTCTTGTATTATTATTATTATTATTATTATTATGAAAGGGCTATTATAGTCGCTCATTTAACTCTGCAGACACCGGTTGAAAAGCATTTGTTTCAGTGTGACGCACATTTGCGAATTTTTCAAAGCGTGTACACCTTAATGAATTGCACTGGGCCTTGTTCATTAGTAGTTGTGTGTGTGGGCGTTGTGAAATGCTGCAAACTGCGAAAATGAAGTCTCAAAATCCAAATGAACCAAACAAGATTCACTCGAACAAGATAAATGCACGCGTGCCACCTGATCCACAAATGCACAGATACCTTTTTGCATGAGCAATTTATGATATATTAATGCAGAACAGAACCTTTTTATTCGCAAACATGTCTGTATTTGTTCAAATCGCTGCACAATCATTTAATCCTGAATTCCACAGACTCAAATTGAAAGGCATTTGTTTGTGGTTAGTAAGATACGTGTATAAAATGTATGCAACATGGATAATTGTGCGTGCATCTATTAAACATTTTGAGTCTAATATCATCCCATAGGTTGAGCAAGTAAGGTAAAAATAAATGCATATTATAAGACAATGAAAGTGTTTTTTGACCTTGCATGCATGTCAACCTGATGTTGGGGACTCCCAAAACCAAAATATGAACCTTTCATTACCCATAATAGGGGCACTTTAATGGGCATTGTTGAACAAACATATATGATATGTTTGATAAACTATACAACGTAATATTAAGTAGCTCATTTCGAATACACCCAATATCACTATTCCACGTTCCAGATATTGATTGCATCTAACAATTAAAACAAAACAAACAACAAAAGAAAAACAGTGTCATAATTTTCACAGTCTATTGAATTTATATTAAATTATTTGTAACAAAAATACATTTAATTATTTACTAATTTCAATATTTTTATACTATAAAAATATTTAGGTGTGTCATGTTTTTTTTTGTCTTTTTTAATTTCATAATTGTTTTTGACTATTGACTTATCTTTTTAATTTTTCAATTTTTTTATTTTAAATAATAAATAACATTATTATTTAATTGATTAAATAATAATGTTTATTGATAGATGATTGTAAAAATTAATGAATGGAAATGAAAAGTAAATGTGCTCATATAATATTTAGTTGTAGTAGAAGTTATAAAGAAGTCATATAGGCTACTAGTTAGTTATATAGTTATATTTTTCCATTAGTTCATTTTCAATTTTCTATAAATAAACATTAAATGCTAATGTTTCTTGATATAAAATTGCAAAATCAATGAATGGAAATTAATAGAAAATTAAAAAACTCAGAAAATATTTCGTTGTAGTTGGAAAATAATAGATTTTTAAAAATTTATATTTGATTTGCATACCCTTTTTTGTACCGTATTCATGGAAAGTGGCAGAAATACAACCTTTGATTTTATTTAATTTTTTCAAAATATTTTTAAAATTATTTTTATTGCTCCACTCTTTACTGTAAACATTATTGAGTACTTCCCACTTTGACACTAAATTGTCATGTTTTATTCAGTTTTATAAAGGTTCATTTTTTAAGGATTATCGGCATGGGAAAGGCATGTATTCCTGGCCTGATGGATCCAAATACACAGGAAAGTTTTATTTGAACCGAAAAGAGGGATACGGAGTACAAGCATTCCCAGATGGATCAAATTTTGAGGTGAATAATTCATAGTTCACTAACAATAAGACTGTTTTCATCATATAATAGATAATTAAACAAAATCTCTTCTACTCATCTGCAGGGTCTATATCATGCTGATGAACGCTTCGGCCCTGGGGTCATGACATACCCTGATGGGCGGCAGGATGTGGGCCTTTGGCATAGAGAGAGGCTACTAAGACTCTGCACCACACTGGAGGGCGGCTTCAGTCTTGAGGACTTCCCAGAACACATGACCAGACTGCCTAAGAAACATCTGAAACAACCTCAACTTCCTGTTGAGGTGGAGTCGAGTAGAGACACCGATCAGGGTCTATCTGAGGACGAGGACCGTTTCATCCTGCCTCCAAACATTGAGAGTTATTCCACAGATTCAGACCATCTGCCCGTCCCCAGGTGTCTACGCCGGGAACTGGACCTTCACTTTTTTGGTACGAGTGACATCAGCACAGAGCAGAACTCACCATCGACAGCCTTGCCGCTACAACAGCGCATGAGTGCACACATTCAGAGACACAGGTAAGAAGATTGTTGCTTTGTAACCTGGGCTGTTTACCAACATGGTTCATTTTATTTTATTTTATTTTATTTTTAATTTAATTTAATTTAATTTAATTTAATTTAATTTAATTTAATAATGTATTATTATTAATGATAATTTATTATTATTTTATTTCATTATTTTATTTTATATTATATTTTATTTATGAATACTGGCAATTAATTATAATGAAACCATATAATAATTAATTTGACGTAGATAAATAAGAATAATAATTTAATCTGCAAAGCACTTGATTTCCAAAATAATAGTTTACAAATAAATTATTATTATTATTATTATTAAGTAGATTTTTATTTTTTTATTTTATATTTTGAAGTATATTTTATTGTTAAAGAATATTTCATTTTTTTAAGTAAATAAATAATAAGAATTTAATCTACAAAGTAGATATTGTTTTCAGAATGGTGAATTTAGATAACAAATATTTTAAAAGGTCTATTATATTATTTTAATAAATCTATTAATATTGACATAATGCACTGAAAAAAGAAATATGTGTTTAATTATATTAATTATTAACTATTTTTAGATTAATTATACTTTATTATATTTGGCACTATGGCCTTTCTGCCATATAAATAGTATTCAATATTTGCCAAAAGATTTTATTTTATTTTTTATTTTATTTTATTTTATTTTAAATGTATTAATGTTAACAATTTTACTAATTAATTAACTACCTTACTTACTGACTTTACCCTGCAGATTTGAGAAGGACACATTAGACTGGGATGTTGCTGCAGTGCTGAATATGAACAGGACTCAATTCGGACCCAAAGGTCCCTTGGAGCTGAACTCAGAGAAACTGATCAAGGAAGCGTCACATGGTGAATGCAGGAATGTTTACCGAATCCTCAGAGATGGAAAAGTTCATCCTGACGTGAGTGACGTACGGGGACATACGGCTCTCATAGCAGCCACGGTAAGCTACAGTTTTAGCATGTTATAATCTAACAATCTAAAATGCTCATTGGCTTTTTGCTACAGTATGTGTTGTGTAGCTTTTACACCTTGGTATTTAATTTAATTAATGTAAAAAAACAAAAAAAAACAAACAAAAAAAAAAATATATATATATATGTATGTATGTATGTATGTATATATATGCATGATTTTTTTGTTGTATTATGTCTATTTTGTGACAGGACATTCTTTCTTTGAGCGTTCTTGTCATATAAATAGTGACTAATATTTGCCAGAAGGTGGCAGCATTGCTTTTTATTTTTCACAGTAGTGAAGAAACATTGAATAAATGGATAAACTACAGGTTTCGGATCTTTAATAACAATACACAATAATTTGTTGTGTGTCTGTGTAGGTTAATAGTCATGATGATGTCATCCACATGCTGTTGGACAGCGGGGCCGATGTTAATAAGTTAAATGATGAAGGCATGTCTGCTCTGGCTGTCTGTCATGTCCTCTACTACCCACTTCAGTCTTTACATGAGACACTGGCTGAGCGAGTGACACAGAATATCAGCCCAGAGCCACAGGTAATAATACAGAGAGGAAGTTTGGGATGCATTATGGGTATTTTGGTTTGCTTGTTTTTCAGATCATTTTTATTCTTCGTTTCTTGCTCCTCCCTTTTTTCTGTCTGTAACGCTAAAGATCAAGCCTTTGGAAGACGTCTCCCATGAATCCTCTCCTGATCCAATGACAGGAACACCCAAAGATGAAAGCGGCCAAGAGACATTTGAGACACCAAGAGAAAGCAACCAAACTGACCAAAGTCTTGAACCAGAGAACCTCAATAACTTGGAGAAACTTGAAGCTCAAGAGCAAATAAATGAGGACATAAATGAAGATGAGATACTTCTTCAGCCTGACCAACCAGAAGGCCTCAACTACTCGGAGGAACCTCAACTTCATCAAATCAATGAAAATACAGAGCCAAACAAGGAGGTAGTTGTTCAACTTGAACATGAAGAAGACAAACCAGCAGAAGAATCACATGTTATAATGTCAAGATCTATTCAAGTCTTTGATGATAAAATCCCAGTGGGTTCTGTATCGTGGCAAGAGAAGGAAGCAAAGACAGTCGTTAACTCTGAGGAAGAGGTGACAAATCTGGAGATTGATGAAAACCTGGAGAGGAGCATCAGATCAGATGAACCTAGTTTTGATTCTGCATGTTCTATGGCTAGTTTTCATATTCACGTCACAGAGGAAATCCTGCAGAAGAGTGCTGAGATCCTGTGCCAGACAGGAACAGTGACTCGGACAGACACCCAGGAGACAGTCCGGAAAATTGCACTTCTTAAGACAGAGTTAGTAAATAAATTCCTACTTTTTTTATTTACCTGAATCTGAATCACAAAAATATATCTGGGTCATATAGAATTTTTATCGTTGATACCAATACTACTGATGTGTCTAGGAATTTGTTATTTTTTTCCTAATATTTAGCCATTGACTATAGCCATTCAACATTACAGTATAATTGAGAGCTATCAATTTTAACATTTATTAGACTTGAAACAATAACTTCTAATTTAAGTGAACGTAAAACAATCTTCACATAAACCCATTATAATAAATGTCATATTTACCTGTGCCCTTTAGGGTTGTCAAAATGGCTGAAAAACTACATTCGAATTTTTTACTTAAATATTATCGAAATTCGAATTATGTTCGAATTTAAAATGCATAATTTCAGTTAGGGTGAAGAAAAGCTTTTGGCTTCCCTCCTGAGGCCACAAGAGGGCGCATCGAGCATAATATTACTACTGCACATTTATTCAAAGCATAATCTGTGAAAAAAAATGCATAATGTTTAAACTAATGTTTAAAAACCAATTATAATTAAGTTGCTTAAACAACTATAATGAGTCATTGAAGCATCCCTTCAACGATTCGTTCAGACGGCTGATTCATTCAAGAAAGGAGCCAGTGCCTCCTTGCGTCCCAATGTGCATACTATCCACCCTCTGCCCTAAATAGTATTGAAAATGACTAATATCACATAGAATTTAGCATGGATAGTGTGCACATTGGGACGCAGGCATGGCTTTCTAAACATGCGGCTCTTTTGTGCGACACGCAAGTGCAACGGTGATAGATGTCCCTCTAGAAAATGGAAATAAGCGCAGGCAAGACGGACAGTTCTGACCTCTCGAAGTGGAACAGATACCTACGGGATCAAAGGTGGATATCGTGTTATTCTCACTCACGTGTTGTGTTGCTAATAAACATGATATAATTTCAGTCCTGTTGCTTTTATATGAAAATAAATATGATGAACAAGACACTCAAAGTGCTTGCTATTTAATTCCATACAAAAGGTGTATTTATCATCCATTTTTACTTTAATACAAACATGTATTTTAGATTTTTATAGAAATATGACAACAATCACATATCTCACACAGAGAAATAGTGTTTGGGAACATTCATGCATAATTTAAATACATAATCACATGAAATCAGATTAAAAAATATATATATTTTAGAAGAGAACCGCAGCATCACAGGTGTCTGAACCAATGAGCATTAAGCTGTGACGTCAGTCAGTCGTTTCCCGTCATGCTTTTGATCAGCGCAGTCGGTGGAGAGCAACTGCGCTCGACTGCACAATCCGACACAGCCGCCTCGCCGTCGCGAGAGTTTTTTGGCACACGTCAGCATGACATCAGATCAAGTCGGACGTAACTCGGACACTTTTCTGACCGGCATGCATCTCGCGGTGATCACCAGTGATCGGTTCTGCGCAAATTTTGCTCATCTCAAACAAGCCTATTATAATGCAATGACACTTACATCGCCATCGCATCTCGTGCGTCACTGATAAGTCTGCGTCCTTAACGCACACCTAAAATTCGAATGCAACGTTTTTGCATTCGAATGTGGATTTTTATTTTAAATTCGACGATTATTCGAAGTTCAAATTTTTTTTGACAGCCCTAGTGCCCTTATACAGAAACTGAATAAAGTTATTAAACACTAAATTCTAAATTAAATACGGATGAATCCTTAAAGCTACAAAAGTTATTGATTTCCCCTTTTTTTCTTTTGTTCTTTGATTAACAGACATCACAGCTGCTGGGTTATTAGTTATTTGGCTGCTATTACTTTAAGAGCTGCCGCTGCTGAACATGACACGGATCTGACATGCATGCTCGTAGTTTCATTCACGCTTTAATAGGAAATGATACAGGCTACAGAGCGCAGTCAGCGCACCACTGTATTTGTGTGTGCAATTGAAGAGCACGTGCTACGAGCACAGTATAACGGCTGACAGGACAGGAAAATTATTTTTTACTGACATATGGCCTGACAACATCTCATCTGACCGCATTTCACTGTTGTTCTACTAAAGCTGCCTCGTCATCAGTGCCGTTTCCGCACTCGTTTGACTTGCACTGGTTGCTGAGGCAAAGTGGAGTGCGCGTCTAAAAAGAATAGAAATTCTTGTCAAGAAAAAAAGAGACAGAAGTGGAAGCTGTTAGTGGGGTGGCCAGCTCCGCCCCTGTGTTAACTGTGTTAAATATTTGTAACACCGCTAAAGTGGAAAAATTAATCGCCTGTGTTAATGCGCTAATTTTGACAGCACTAATATATATTTTCATTTCAGCAATGAGAATGAGATTTAAAAAAAATTGGCATGAAATATGATGGGCATGTTATTGTTTGGTCATGCTATTATTTGGAAAGTTGTTGCTTTGTAATTGGAGATTGTCTGGTCTGACAGACACAGGAATCGATGGACTACAATTAAGCTTCTGTTGGAGAGAGGAGCAGACCCGAACGCCTCTACCATCCCCATGCCCATCATCTTCCTGGCTATCAAAGCTGCCCATGTCAAGGGCGTCCGTCTTCTATTGGAGTGTGGTGCTCGTACAGACATACCTCTACTTCCAGAGGTACGTTTAATTTAATTTAATTTCATTTCATTTCATTTCATTTAATGCATACATTTTGACAACCATATAATCTTTAATTAAGTTAATAAATAATAATTGAATCTTCAAAGATTTAATTTCATTAATATTAGTAATGTGTAAATATTGACAATACATTTAAAATGACACTATAAAACAATAATACAAATATTTAAAAAATATAATAAAAGATTCTTGCTGACCAACTACTAATCACTAAATTTTAATAAAATATTGACAGCAAGGCATCTATTTGGTCATTTTTATTTCTTTTTGTGTTCATGTCAGCAAAAGGGTCTGTATCCTCTTCACATAGCAGCGGGTTTATCTGGAGCAGAGTGTCCTGAAATCACAGAGCTCCTCCTGCACGCCCTGGCGGATCCTGACATCAAAGCTCAGGATGCACATGAATTCTATGAGCTTGATAAGGTCTGAGTAAACGTTTTGTATAAATATATTTCATCACAAATTTTTAATATCTCTAATCAAAGAAACATAAACCCTCAGGGCACATTTGAGCCCTTTAAGAATCAGCATCTCATTGCCTCTGGACCCCTGGCTAAATTCAGCGAAGCCCCTATTGAATTCCCTCAGGAAGGCGGGAGGACACCACTACATGTGGCTTGCCAAAGAGACAGCGATTATACAGTAAGAATACCATATATACGCTGAAACAACATGATACTCCTAGAAAAACTTTTTTAATCATTTTATAGCTTTTAATTTGCATGTAATTTTATTATTACCATATAATTATTAACTGAAATGCAGTGTGCCAGCATGTGATGGCGTTGCGTTACGTATGGCCCGAGTTCGAATCCCGCCTCAAGGACCTTTCCTGATCCCACCCCCCCCTCTCTCTCCCACTCTGCTTCCCTTTTCTCCTCTAATCTCCTGTGCGGTGGTCTTAACTCATTGTAGTAAAAGTATACTATCCATGTTTCTTTTGGCATATTGATTGCCATTTGTATAACCTTAGTTTTACTACAAATACCATGGTTAAACTATGGTTAGTATAGCAAAACCATGGTTAATTTGTGTTTACCATGGTTTAACTATAGTAACCATGTCTTTTGGTTTTATTTGTGGTAAAACCATGGTTAATTTTTGTCAGGGAAGAGACAGCATGGACTTGGTTTTAACAGATTTGTACACATACATGTGTAGCTTCTTGAACAGCCTCTTAAACGCCACTAATCGGATCTCAGACTAGCATACAGTGACATTTAGAAGCAACTTCTCCATTTATCTTTGTGAATTAATGGTTCATTCAGGAATAATGTACAGTTATCTGGTCATTATCGCAAAATAAACCCAGACAGGGTGATCAGGACCTTGGCATAAAGCAGACGGCTCTTGTAGCACCCTGAAGGGGTTTATTTTATGCTAACGAGTGGCTAACTGCTGGCACAACTATTTACAACATAAATAAATAAATAAATACAAGGTCAGGTAAGTAATTTAACTTTAGATAATACACTCAGACCGTTTATTCTGTAACGTAAACAAACACCACAATCGACTATAATAATACAACTCTGCCATCTTTTCCATCTGTGTTGATATTCATGTAGGCTATAGTGAGACAAAAATAATTGCTGATTGAAAGATATATCGCGGGAGACCATTTTGTTTCACAGTTTAGCCTCAAAACCACTAAGATCAGAGCAAAAGAACAGACTATGACTTCCCGTAATACTTCGTAAAAGTCGAAAGCCCTGCGCGACGACGGGTAGACCTTAAAGAGAAAGTTCTCCTGAGAATTACAATTCTTTAATCATGTACTCCTTATAATCCACTTTATTTTTAACGTAAAAGCGGGCGCGGCCATTTTGTAACGTGAATGTGCGACGCTTCCGGTGTCATTTGCTTCAATTTTAGCTGTATACAAAAACAGTTTGTTATGGTGCTTGATATTGCAAACTGGTGTCATATTTTAAAGTTATCATAATCACAAACATTGGTTTGTAGCACATAGTTTTGTTTAGTGCACTTTATTGTTCTTCTTGGTTACCCTTACGAAAATTAGGCCTAACCATGGTTGTAGTAAAAGTGTAGTAACCATGTTTTTTTTGGCGTATACCATTTGTATAACCAGTTACATAGTTAAACTATGGTAAGTGTAGCAAAACCATGGTTTAACTATAGTAAGCATTTTTTTTTTGTAGTAAAACCATGGTTAATTTTCTCAAGTTCATAGATTACTTCCATGTTGTAAAATTAAATGTAATGTAATGAAAATGAGGCTGTGAGGGATAGGTTTTTGTTACAATGTTGTGTGCTGCATTAAGGTCCTAGATCATGTAATTTTCACAACTTTCAAAGCTGTTTTAAGTTTTTGTCTACGTCAAGTTTTTCAGAAAGATGTTTCATCAGTTGAACAATCTGTAAGTTGTTAATGGGTATCCACTGAATGCACTGTACTGATATTTTTCACAGCCTCATTTTCATACCTGTCAGAAATGAAATATAGCAGCACTACATTGACTAATTCTATAATTGTATTTCCATGCTCTCTCCCACTCCGCTTCCTGTCTCGTCTACACTGTCCTATCGTAATGATAGCAAAAAACACCAAAAATAAATCTTTAAAAAAATACACTGTTAATTAAAAACTACTAGATTAATAGATAAAGTTATATTTAAAAATGAAAAGTCGCCAAGAAATGCATAAAATGCAATTGTCAATGGAGTATTCAATCAAATGAATTGGAATTTATTTGTGAATTATAATAATAAGAAGCCTTATTTTTCTTTCAGAATGCTAGAGATGTGGTGGCGCTTCTCCTTTCTCATAACGCAAACCTCAGCGATGTGTGGAGTGGCCATTCACCCCTATCTCTGGCCATCGCGAGTGGCAACGACCTTGTATGTAATCATTTTTGACATCCCTTCTTCCGACTGAATCATTTGTAGTTCTGCTATTTGCAAGGAATCATGTTTTATAGTGTAATTAAATGCTGTCTATTCAAAGGCACAGAATGAATTTGGAATAATAAGTCATTACTGAAGGATGAGGGTGAGAACTCTATGGCATTGCATCGACGTGCCGTGTATATTAACGCTGTTTTCCCAGGCTGTGGATGAACTGCTAGCTGGAGGGGCTGATCCTAATCTTCCTCTCACTCGTCATGTGGGCAGCGCTCTCTGTGCCCTTGCCAACATCAGCTACAACCGTGGGCCACATCCACGCAACCAAGTCAAGCTGGTGATCTTCTTCAACTAATTATCCTACGTAGTCCCATTGGAAAATACGTTCATATGTGAAATATGTTTCTGCAATGTTGCTCTGTAGTTGCACTATGCATTGCAAAATAAAAGTCGAAATATGCATTTCAATTTAGTTAGGCTTAGGGGAAATGCATGTTTGTTGATTTTACTGAATAATTTTGTACAGATTAATACGTATATATGTATTTTACAACAACAATAATACTAATAATTTTATTCCATATATTCTATAAAAATATATAATAATAATTATAAAATAATATTAATAATATTTTAAATAAATTAAAACAATTATTTTATAATTTTGTGCAATATATGGAATATTTG